TCTGGATTTTTTGTACTTTCAAAACCAGGGGGTTGGTGCACATAAACCTCTTCTTCTATATAGCCATTTAAGAATGCACTCTTGACATCCATCTGATATAGAGTGATGCCTTTATTAACAGCAAAAGAAATTAAAAGTCTGATAGATTCTAACCTGGCGACTGGAGCAAAGGTTTCTGTATAGTCTATCCCCTCTTGCTGACTATAACCTTGTGCTACCAGTCGTGCTTTGTTTCTTATGACTTCACCTTGTTCGTTCAGTTTGTTTTTGAACACTCATTTTATTCCAATGACGTTGAATCCTTTTGGTCTGGGAACTAGATTCCACACGTCATTTCTGGTGAATTGATTCAGCTCTTCTTGCATTGCTAGAATCCAGTCGTTGTCCAGAAGTGCTTCATCAATTGAAGAAGGTTCAATCAGAGAAGCAAGTCCCATGAGGGATTCTTCAGAGTTTCTGAAGCTAGCTCTTGTTCTGATTGGATCTTCCTTTCTTCCTAAGATTGTTTCTTCTGGGTGATCCATGCTGCTTCTGGGTAGTCTTTTCTGAGGTTGATCAACAGATGTTGCTGGATTGCTCGCAGTGCCTCTTTCTGATGTTGAAGGAGTGTCTTTGTTGAGAGCTTCTGATGACTTGTCTTCAGAACCTGTGAATTCAACTTCCATACCTGCAAAGACTTCATTCTGCTTTGACTTTTCAGAGTCAAGCTTATCATCAAAGCGAACACTGATTGATTCTTCCACAATCTGTGTTTCTGTATTGTATACTCTGTACACTCTTGAGCGTTCAGAGTATCCTAACATAATACACTTATGTGCTTTAGAGTCAAACTTGTTCAAATAATTTTTTGTGTTTAACATAAAGCAAGTACATCCAAAAGGATGAAAATATGAAATGTTGGGCTTTCTGTTCTTCCATAATTCATATGGAGTCTTTTCCAGAATAGGTCTTATGGAGATTCTATTCTGAATGTAGCACGCTGTGTTTATTGCCTCTGCCCAGAAGATCTTAGCAACGTTTGTCTCATTGATCATGGTTCTGGCCATTTTTTGCAATGTTCTGTTCTTTCGTTCTACAACTCCATTTTGCTGGGGAGTTCTAGGACAAGAGAAATCATGCAGAATGCCTCTGTCATTAAAGAATGACTAAAAATATTTGTTTTCAAATTCTCCACCATGATCACTTCTAACTTTAACGATTCTAAGATCCTTTTCATTCTGAACTTGGTTACAGAAGGTGACAAACACAGAGTGTGACTCGTCCTTGTGTCTTAAGAACTTTACCCATGTCCATCTACTATAGTCATCTACGATTACTAACCCGTACTTCTTGCCACTGACTGAAGCAGTTTTAACTGGTCCAAATAAGTCAATGTGCAGAAGTTCTAATGGCTTAGAGGTGGAAACAACGTTTTTAGATTTGAAAGCAGGTTTTGCAAACTTGCCTTTTTGACATGCTTCACACAGAGCATCTGAATTGAACTTCAGATTAGGAAGTCCTCTGACCAGATTGAGTTTGTTAATCTGAGATATTCTTCTCATACTAACATGCCCCAATCTTCTATGTCAGATCCATTGCTCGTTGTTAACAGACAGAAGACACTTTACATTCTGACTTTTCAGTTCAGAAAGTTTGATTTTATAAATGTTGTTTTTCCTCTTTCCATTAAATAGGATAGTCCCATCTTTCTGACTAACAGCTTTACATGATTTTTGATTAAAGATTAGATCATAACCGTTATCACTTAATTGACTTATGGATAACAGATTATGCATTAATCCATCTACTAATAGAACATTATTTATAGAGGGAAGATTTCCATTACCTACTGTTCCAGAGCCAATGATATTTTCCCTCGGATTTCCTCCAAAGCCTGCGTGGCCTCCAGGCTTAAGTTCTAGGCTTTGGAACATATGCCTTCTTCCCGTCATGTGTCGTGAACAGCCAGAGTCCAGGTACCATGACTGGTGTTTCTGATTTGCTACTAAAGATATCTGCAACATGTATTATTTTATCCTTAGGTACCCATATTTTCTTGGGTCCTGATTTGTTAGTTTTACCAAAACTCTGGTTGAATTTTGGTTTCACAGAATAATTACTACTAGTATATTTAATGTCATGTGTGTGACCATACACGAAGTGTGAATTCAGAGGAGTGCGTTTAATAATTAGATCCATGGCATTCTTTGGTGTAGGTACCTTACCTTGGTATCCTATTCCCTTTCTGTCGTTTCTGCTAACTCCATAGATCATTGAATCCATTTTGCTTCTATTTATGCTTTTAGCAAGGAACTTCTGGAAGCTGTGATCATACTCCTTGATGATCTCATCAGCGCTGCTGGGAGTTTCAGAAATTGTTTCCTTCTGAGAGTTTTGTAAAAGATTTTCTAATTTTGAAATTTTATTTTTCAACTCAGAATTTTCCAATTTAAGACTCTCAGTTTTATCAGAGCCAGAATCAAGATTCCTTTTCAGGTTTCTGAATTTAACTCTGATCTGCTGATATCTTTCCAGAATTTCGTTAAGGCTTTCAGCAAGTTCAGCCTTAGTAAAATTAATTGCAAAGTCAGGGAATACCTCTTCGGTGTCTGATTCAGAGTCTGATTCAGAAGCTTCACTGTCTTTTGATATGTTAGCCATGAGAGATATGTTTGCTCTCTCATCATCTGATTCTGAGTCAGCTTCAGACGAGTCAGAGTCATCCCATGTAGCCATGAGACTCTTCTTCTTTTCCCTTCCAAACTTCTTTTTGGGCTTTTCCTTATGAAGCTTTGGACAGTCACTCTTGTAGTGTCCTTGCTCGTTGCATTCATAGCAGATGATGTCCTTGGTGTTTGGCTTTCTGCTTCCTGAAGAGCCTTCAGATTTTCTGTATCCAGAGGAGGAGTCTGACCTTATGTATCTGGAGGAGGACTCATTCTGATCGGATCTTCTGGTATTCCTGAACTTTCTTTGCCTCTGCTTCCATAGTTGATTCACTCTTCTGGAGAGGAGGGAAAGTTCGTCTTCTTCTGATGAGGACCCATCAGAAGTTTCTTCACAGCCTGCAAAACTTTGGAGTCGGATTTTCTGTTAGATTTTAAGGCTAAAGGCTTACCTTGCTTCTGAGGTTCATCAGCTTCTAGCTCTATCTCGTGACTTCTGAGGGAGCTGATAAGTTCCTCCAGAGAGATTTTGTTAAGATCTTTAGCTAGCTTCAGCGCTGTAACCATTGGCCTCCACTGTTTTGGCAAGCTTCTGATGATCTTCTTGACATGATCAGCTGTAGAATACCCTTTGTCCAGAACTTTGAGACCAGCCACCAGAATTTGAAATCTTGAGAACATCGTTTCAATTGATTCACTTTCTTCCATTTTGAATGCCTCATACTTATGAATAAGTGCAAGAGCTTTAATTTCTTTGACCTGAATGTTGCCTTCATGCGTCATTCTGAGAGAGTCAAACATACTCTTTGCAGTGTCTCTGTTAGATATCTTTTCATATTCAGCGTAAGAGATGGCGCTGAGAAGAATAGTTCTGGCCTTGTGGTGATTTTTGAAGTCACGCTTTTGTTGATCAGACATTGCCTTCATGTCAATCTTCTGACCACTTGCATTCACTGGGTGCATGTATCCATCTGTCACCATGTCCCACAGATCAGCATCATGTGCCAGAAAGAAGCTTTCAATTCTGTCTTTCCAGTAATCAAAATTCTCTCCATCAAAGACTGGAGGTTTGCCGCTGAATCTGTCTCTATCTTCATTGTTGTCATTGTTGGTGTGTTGATATGTTCCTGCCATTGTGTTTTTCTGACGCTGGATCTTGTACTGACACAGTTAAGTGTTTTAGCTCAGAACCAGGCGCTCTGATGCCAATTGAAGAAGTGAAAAACACAAGAAGGGGGGTTGAATTGTAAAACTTGAAATCAAATGCAGACAACACGTTATTTTTATCCTGGTTTGTTTGATCTCAAACTACTCCAGTCCACCCGTCAATGTGATTTCGCCTCTCTCCAATGAGGTCTTAATCCACTATATTCAACTGAATATTACAACTGCTTTAACAACTGCTAAAGCCTTCTTGAGTCTAAACCACAGACCGGTTTCTCAAGGAAATTCTTTCTTACAGATAAATGAATACTATGTGTGTTGAATGTTTTCTACAAAAACTTTATATCACAACTGTGATAATACACAAATTAAGATTATGTGAAACTAGGATGCTATAACTATAGAGTAAGCAATTTGAGAGATATAGCAAACTGTATGAGTGAGGATGAAGATGATTTGCTTTATGCGTGTGAAGAGTTGTAGAGCATTAGCCAATTCATTTCTCACTGACTTGTTTATATAGCCTTTGGAAAGGATACGTTGTAGTCAATTATACCATTTCAATGCCCATTACGTTCTTTCCATATTGAGAAGATCTTTGTCTTGGAATACAGCCGTTGGTAATAAAGTGTCTTGAATGCACAGTACCGTTGTCAACAAAAGCGTGTTGATTGGCTTTGGCTTATTCTGACGCTTCTAGGTGCTAATGATATTGTTTTGGTCTTGATCAGAGTTTAGAGTATGTTAAGCGCAGATCTGTTCATCAAGCTTCAGCGTAAGCACATGCTTTGATCTTCTGATGCTGGCATATGATATTTCATCTTCTGATGCTGGCATATGATATTTCATCTTCTGATGCTAATGTTGACATTCTTATGCTGATATCCATCAGAGTTTCTGTAAATGCACAATATAATTTTTAGGTAGCATATATGTCTCATATGAATTATACAATTTATTTAATCTAGCATTTTATTATCATCAAAACTTTAACTTAGGGTAGTAGATTCAAACTTTGTTCTAACACACCAACGCTCTCTTACACAAGTTTGCAAAAATTGTGTCAATCCTGCTGAGAGTGATGCGATCTGGACTGACTTCAGAAGATGGATCAACTACCGTTCTTGGTAGCTAAGAGATATTTGCTATGAATTTTCTTAGAAGAATTTTCATGAAAAACTCTCTAGTATCATGGAACCACTTCTGGAGATGTTCAAGCCAAAATATCTTCATGTACCAGAAGTTGAGCTATCCTTGGTTGTTTCTGAACAAGAGGTTCAGACTGAACAAGCGATTCAGCCTAAAGGTACTCCTCCTCCTGAACAGCAAGTCATTTCTCAGACTAAAATTGAAACTACTTCTGGAACTGAGAAGCCTTTTGGATCTGAATCTATGCCTATGGTAATGTTGGAGACTTTGGAAGAACTCAAGCAAGAGAATGTAGTTATCAGATCTCGTGTGGACAAGAAAGATGAGATGTTTAAGGAACATGCTCAGACCAACACCAAGATTGAAGGACTGCTACAATTGATTATGTCAAGGCTTCCACCCCTAACCTAAAAACCCTTTTTAGTTGTATTTGCTTAAGTCTTTTTGCTTTTTAAGAAAACCCCAGTTTTTATTCTGTTTTTGTATCTTTATCTTTTCAATCAATGAAATTGTGTTTTCTCTTTTTTTATTGATGGCAAGGGGGAGAAACATAAATGTGATTTTGAAATACTTATTTTCCTCTCTAATCCCAAACATATAAATCTGACATTTTTTTTTATTAAGGAACTTTGTAAAAGTTCACTAATGCTCTATTCAGGTTATCCAAATGTTTTTGAACTAGGAATCTGAGACTTTTCATGCCCTTAAGAATGAATTAAGTTCTGATAGATTTTACCAGACTCTTGTACTTCATCAGGTTTTCGTACAAGCCAAGTTTTGAGACAAGAATTCAAGAAACTCTTATCAAACTTTGAGATAAGGAAGTTTCCTTTTCTTTCGTTCTGATTACAATGTTTTATGTATAAAAAAATTCCATGTCTTAAACTCAGGGTGAGTCTACAAACTTCATTATGAATAAGCTAAGAAAATTTTGATAGTATAAAACTCAGGTGGATCTTACGAGCTTTCTAGCTTACTCTAACGAGTTTCATGTGATTAAAATCAAGTAACAATTATTCATCAAAATACATGGTTTTGTCATCATCAAAAAGGCGGAGATTGTAAGAACAAGATTTGGTTATGCATTTGGCCTTTAGTTTTGATGATAATAATACATTATTTCATAAAGAACAATTTTATACCTTAATGATTTTTGTTAAGTGTGCAGTTGTATGCAACAAGTTATGACTCTAGGAAAGTGATGTGTTGACATCATCATACTCTGAGCTAACTCACTCTAACTATTGGAGACAACAAGTTGTTTCTAGCAAAGAAAATCAAGCTCTAGATTATGCTAATCAACACTTCTAAACAACGCTCATCTGAAACGCTTTGGTTTATGACTATGATAAAGAAGCTTATGATGTTTTCAAACTCTGAAGTCTTGCGCTCAACAAACTCTGGTGAAGAGTGTTACCAGATTCTGGAACAAGACTCGGGATACCAAGTTTTGAAGACTCTCTCATAGAAACTTTGATTCTTCTAAACATACTTCATCAAATTTATATATAGGGCCTATGAAGATTAGAAGATAAGATAAAAAGGTTTTATCTGAGAAAATAGTAGATAATATAAGATCAAACATTCCTTTCACTACACTGATTTTATGGTAAAATGACAATACTATTGTACCATTTTGTCTCCCATTTTCACAAATTGTTATGCAAGAATACAATTATATATTTATGGAATTCCATATTCACCCTCCAACGGATCTTTTCGTTGCCTATATAAAGGAGTCATGGAAGATTGGAAAAACATGAACTTCAACGTGAACATTGCAATATTGTGAGAATAGAAAAGCTTTAATAGAAAACACTTTTCCGTGTAAATCTTTGTAATTCAATTGTGTAATCTACTTTCATAGAAGCACTTTTGTAACACACTTTGTATCTCAATTTTTGAGTTGTATTAGGGTATAGTCAAAATTTCTCAAGAAGACATTGACAGTACGTCTTTGTGGTCGTAATCAGTTTGGTTATAGGGGATTAAGTCTTTGTGAGAAGGCAAAATTACCTTGGCGGATGAACTTGAGGTAGCTTCGTTAACAATGAACCAGGATAAAAATATTTGTGTTCATTATTTTTATTCTAAGTTATCTCTATGTTTAGGGTAGCATTAGATTTTCATTTTAAAAACTCAATTCAAATCTCTCTTTCTTGTGTCTCCTTAACCTTCAAAAGATAGATGTAAAAGAGTGTTCTTGCACCAGAAGAAGTATGTCCAAAATATCTTAAAGAGGTTCAAGATGAGCAACTTTAATGTAGCTATCACTCCATTAAAAACTAAAACAAAGTTGAAGATGAAGACATATGATAAGTTTGTAAGTGTAGCACTGTACAAACAAATTATTGAATCCTTGAAAATCCTTTTGTCCCAACAGGAACCTCTTCGAAAAATTGTTGATGTTTCCCTCAAACGAGATAAAGTAAAAATGTTAAAAGACACTCCCTATTGATGGCCTGAAATGATCAGTAACAGAACTTCTTATTCACATGTTATTTACAACTAGAGGTTTAATAACAGATGTAAGTAGAGTTTTCTGTTCCAATCCAATGGTGAATGTGTATATGCAAACACTCTAACACTTAATATCAATATCAATAGTAATATGAAATTTCAAGTTGTAATTGTGTGTACACTTAAATTGCACCTGTCTCAAAGAACAATCATTAATAGATCATTAAACTTATTATCCATCTGTTCATAAGAGATGTACAAGCATGATCTGGTGTACTCTAGTGTGCGCATATATATCTTCTACACTGCATTTTAACAATTGAGCTTGTCTTAATCACGATTTTTTATATTGGGCGTAGGCCAAAACTAAAACAATTAGAATTACATTTGTCATAATAAAACATAAGTTTGTTTATGAAATGACCCAACATGTTACGATTAAAAAGACTTAACAAACTTGTCTTTTTGCAATATACTCCAATTCTTATTCCTATCAAAATAAAACAACAGCACAATTGTCTATGAATCCAACATGTTATGATTAAAAAGACTTTTCTTTTGTAATATAGCTACCTCTCCCTCTTTTTATCAAAGTAAAATAACACTTCTCTACCTCTCTAGAGAAAGACCGAAGCGTGGCATTATTTTATTTCCCTACCGATAACTTTTCGGTAGTTTCAGACTTCGAATGAAAACCAAACAAAACACAAAAAATAATCCTTATATGTCGCCTCTCTTGTCAAGAATCGGCTACTTCCTCCTCTATCTATTTTACCTTTTACTAATTTGCGGTACAATTCGAAGTGTATCATAGTAACAATGGTTAGTGCACAAAATTAATAAATAAAGAAAAGATATAAAAGAATAATATTAAAGTTCGGTAAGAACAATTATAAAGTTATAAAGAAGAATGATTAAATATTATTCATAATAGCTACCACTAATTTATTTATACACAAAATAAATTGTCATGTAGACTCTAACAAAAAGTAAACTTAATAACTAAGCAAACTAAACTTAATAGCTATGCTAACAAAAAAACTAGAACTCCAGAAGCTAAACATACTTCTGGGCGTAACCTCAGAAGTTTCTGCTTCTAACTAACAACTTCGGAAGTTTTACTGCTTCTGAGCAACACTTCTTCTGACTAACAACATCAGAAGCTTCTGATTCTAACAGTAACTTCTGAATATGAATTACTTTCAACATCATCCCTTAATTCATATTCAGTTAACCCAAAAACTACAACCCCAATTTCATCCCTCAAACGAATAAATTTTCCAATCTTGATATCCTTCGTCAGATCTGCAAGTTGCTTCTGATTGCTACAATGTGCAACTTCTAATACTTCATTTAAAAATGCATATTTCTCCTTGAAAATCCATCTGACGTTGATGATTTTCTTCTCCTTTAGAAGTTCAGTTAACTTCCAAGTCTTGTTTCTTTGTGGCCTCTGGACTTGTTCAGAATCTCCTTTTGATTCTGTAACAGAATATCCTTCTGGACTTTCTTCAGAAGTTCGACTACCATCAGAAACTCCACCTTTATTAGCTTCCGAAATTTCTTCAGAACCACTACCTTCAAAAGTATCATCTTCAAAAATTGGATCGCCTTCAGAAGCTCTGCCTTCAAAATCATGACCGCCGTCAGAGGCTGGACTACCTTCAGAAGCTCCTCCTTCATAAGGTCCACCTTTAGAGACATTATTTCCACCAGAAACATGATTATCTTCAAAAGCTTGTCCTCAAGAACCCACATCTTCAGAGTTTTTCCTTCTAGAAGCATGATCACCACCATATTCAAAATCTGGATTAGAATCAGATTCACCATCTGACTCAACTTAAGAGTCTCCAGAATATTGTTCATCTTCTGACTCGGACTCACCTTCAGAAATTTCAAGTTCTGACTCAACTTCAGAAGAAGAAACTCATTCAGATTCTGACTCATCTTCTGATTCTCCTTCAGACTCGGAATCACCTTCGGATTCTGACTTGTCTTCAGCTTCAGAGTCATCTTCTAACTTTGACTCATCTTCAGAAACCTCAGATTCTGACCCATCTTCAGAATCTTCAAAGTCATTTTCTGATTCTGACTCATATTAAAACACTCCTTCAGATTATTCAGATCATCTTCTCCCCCTTCAGAATCAGAAAATGATAATCTCACAGGTTCCTCATCAGATTCATAAACCATCAATAGCACAGGTTTATCATCAGAATCTCCTCTGGCTATTTTTGCTTCTTCTTTGTTTGACCAATAATATTTAGCAAAGTGGCCAAACCTATTACAACAGTAACACTGAACCATTCTCTTGCCATACTTCTCCTTTCCCTTTTGATGTTTCTTCTCATCAGAATAGAAGACTTCTGAGACCTACCATGTTTTTTCCGCTTCTGGTCCTTCTTGACAAAATAAGCTTTCAGAGCCTGCTCAACCTCCCTCTCAAAAGTTCTTTCAATTAGATGCAACTCTTACGCCTCTAGACTGCTTTGCAGCTCTTCTATTCTCATGGTGTCAAAATATTTAGAATGTTCAATTGCTACAACAATGTAATCAAATTGAGGAGTAAGAGACTTCAATATATTTTCAATGATTACTTGTTCAGAAAGGGTTTCTCCACAAGCTTTCATCTCATTAGTGATCAAAATCACTCTGGAGATGTACTCAGCAACTTTCTCGTTGTCCTTTATGTTGAGATTCTCATACTACTTTCTAAGTGACTAAAGTTTCACCTTCTTCACTGACCCGTCACCACCATAACACCTACTCAGTGTGTCCATGCAGCCTTCCCCATCGTTGAATCAACAATTTTCTCAAACACGTTCTCATCCACACACTGATGGATGAAGACCAATGCCTTTTGATCTTTCTTCTTTGTATCTCTATGTGTATTTCTCTGTTCTTCCATCGCATCTGCTGCAACTAGAACATAACCATCGTTGACGAGATCAAGAACATCTTGAGCGCCAAACAACACACGCATCTAAATCATCCAACGATTCAAGTTTTAGCCATTAAATATTGGAAGCTTGGTGCTTAGACTATCATTTTCGGTCATCTTCAACCTTATACAAGTAACTCAGATCTCACAAGCATTTTATTTTTCCCCTTTGAAGTCCTTAAAATGAGCTTGGTAGGGCATTGTTTAGATTTAGCGGATGGTCGCTGAAACAACAAAGACAAGTAAGGACAAATCTAAAAAGGAGCAAGTAAGCTTGAAGAGGAAATTAGTTTTTGGGAAAATAAAAGATATTTGAGAGTCCCCTTCAGGGCTAGAATTAATGCTCTCTAGGCAAGTCGAAGCTGGTTGAACAACTCATACTTTTTCTACCACTAGAGCAGGCACAGTGGCAGAAGTAGTTTATTTTGAAACATCTTCAGATCGAGTCGACCGAGACTTTTTGGATTTTGAGGGGATAGCAGGCGAAGGCATGTTGTCCACTTGCTTCTCTTCATGGGAATAGTGTTTTTGCATCTTTGGAGAGGGTCCAGAAGGGACAACAATGTTGGCTTCAACAACCTGCAAATAGGTCGACATAATTAACGTGTTAGACATTGGATGTAATCAATTAAGAGAACACCAAAGTTAACAGATTACCTAAGAGGAATTTACAGGAGCTTCTTCAGCAGAAGCAGAAACAAATTCATTACTAATAGCCCCCTAACACGCTTCTTGTGCTCAACTGCTGAATAAAACAAAAGCACAAGATAGAGTTTAAAGGTTGAAACATGAAGAAGCGAGAAAGCAAATAAAGTGATCGACAGTCACAATAGTAAGTCATCCCTTTCTTAAATTTCTTATTCATAGCTTCGAAAGCACTGGCCAATCGATGCTTGAAATATTTGAGGTTCCCATTTTTCTTTATGAACCTCATGGTCCACCAATCAAAAATCTCCTTCGTTGTATAGAAAAGGGGTTCGAAAGCGACGAAGTTCAGGTTGGGGGCGTCAGCAGCAAAGTGTTGGAGGCGTTGAGCGCACTCTGCTTCACTGTAGCTTTAGGACGAA